TCATTAAGTTCTTTAGACTATCTATCTTCTTATGACCTTCTTCAAGGGCAGTTTTGTCCTTGCTAACAATGGCCGTTACTTGCTCCCTCAGCGCCTTATTTTCCTCCACGACTTTCTCCAGGAGCATTACATAATGGTCTGACATTGAAACACTCATTTTCGCAATATAATTTATATAAAACCGTGCAACGAATCTATGCGGCAGAAGACAATTACTCCAACACACTTTCTCAACGAAGTTCGAAATTCGAATGAAAAAGTATTGACATTTGAGAGTCTCAAGTTTGTGTGTGTTTTGACAATTTCATACTGTGGGGAGACCCCTGTGTTGATGATATGACATTCTGTTAAGTAATTGCCGGCTCCCAGTGACCAGAATCTTTATTTATACGCGACATTGTTAATATATTTTTTATTTGAACTAATTTACAAAAATAATCAAACAAGGTCATGGCCAACAGTACCCCAATATTTTGCCCAAAATGTGTTGTACCCGGCAGGGGACGATAGTGCGCACAACAATGACGTATTATTACTCAGTGATTGTTACATTTAATTATTACAAACAATTCGCGCGGGCGCCAAATTTCATTCTGTTGGTGTTCTTGTAGCTAAAAACTTGGGTCGTAAAATTACAACATTGCTAGCATTTTGAACTGTCTGTTGGTTGAGAGCTTATGTAAAGCTGGCCGGAATGGTGCATTCTAGTGAGGTTTTCCACGCTGTGAGTGGCACACTTACTAACTATCGTGGGATACATAACGATCTGGGAGAAATCCCAGCGGCATAAGCACAGGTCACAAATGCTAAGCAGCATCGTTTGTCTCAACCAAACACTGAAGACGAGATCAAGAAAAAAAAACGCAGCAGAAGAAAGCATACGCGTAACGAAGCTAAGATGATCCCGAAACAAAACAAGAAGAAGAATAAGAGAGTACATATGAAAATGAGGGGTAACAGCTGGAACTGGCTGATACATTATATCCATGTTAAATTAACCCATTAGCATGCAATGCACCCAAATGCACCCTACTTTAGTATTTACTCTGGCTACTTTAATATTTACTCTGTCTATGTTCAGGCCTTAAAATATCTTTTACAGGGCCGTCTGACGAAATGTCCGATGACGTTGAGTTTGGGTCGGACATATGTCCGATGACCTTCAGTTCAGTTTTGACTTTGAATAAGTCTGAATGACACGTCAAATGAATATCAGCACAATGTATTAATTCTGAACGGTAAATGTTATGACGATATTAAATAATTTGTTTCTTTCATACTTATTTCCACTTCACTATTTCGATCCCCACCCCACGCTTGACTACGCTAAAACAACATTTCCAGTTCACCTTCTATACAATAGTACTCTGATTTTCCATTTAATATACAAGCCTCTAGTCCTGGGCTAGGGTACATTTTGATTTACGATGGACAAAGCTACATTTCGGTCTGACATCAATTCACTCGGGTCGGACAAACAATAAACCTCGGTTTCACTTACATGTAGGTCGGACAGAATGTCTGGTGGTTTCCTCTCTACGTCGGACAATTTCACGAATGGCTCGGACAATGTCTGTGACCGACCAATATTTTAACGTCTGATGTTAATGGATTAAGGCCTGATGTTAATGGTTCTTATGCACTCAGGGAATTATGGGGACATAGATTTTTAATATATAAATACTTATAGCCCAACCCCCTGAGGCAGGCTGACCTGACTAATCTAAATCTAATCCCCCAACCCATGGGGATAAAATTTGAAAAATTAGCTGTTCCAGATAAAATTGACTTTAAAAAAGTTCAGGCTCAACAGGACCATTGAACAGGACAGTCTTAGTCTGCGAGCAGGCTGTATACATTCTCACATAATGCCCCACATGCCAGGGATCCATAAGAGGAAAATCCCCCACCTAGTCAGGCGTAACTAAGAGTCAAAAGAGGGAAAACGCCCCACATGTCCTCGCCTACACGAGTGGGGATTTACTGTGATGTATGAGCACCACTCCAGTTGTTGGGAATTTAACCAATGCATATGAACCACTGCTCAGGGGTGGTGACATTAGACTGAAGTCCAAAGATTTCCTTGGTTTAATTTGTGAAAATAGAGCTGTTTTTATGGTTTTACTCATCTTTCCCCTTTTTATATATACATATATTTATATTTGATTAATATCATGTTTATCTTCTGACTGACACACATTTTAAACAAAATTCATTCCCTCCCTTCCCCCACCCCAGAATTTACATTGAAAAGTGCATTTTTCTGTAGTCTTGATAATAATATGATAATGCATTTAATAAATGCCTTTTATTAGAAACATTAATTAAGGCAAAAAAAAATGTGGGTTTTCGGTTTCTTCTTATAAAAACTTGGGTAGGGTAGGTCGGTTTTAACTTTTTTTTTTAAACTTTTTTTTAAAATTTTCCGAACGAGCAGATGCCATTTTGTTTAGTCAGTGCTTCCACATCGAGAGATAAATTTCCCTAATATTGCCTCAAATTTCAATTTTCCACAAACTTTTTCCTCTAAGTGGAAACACTTACAAGCATGATCCAATAAAACGTTTAGGGTCGGGATTTCGACGTCCAAAAGCTAGGTAGGGTCGGGAAACCGGAAACCCACATATTTCTTTTGGCCTAACCTGATAGACTTTATTAATTTTTGTCTTTCGCCAGGGTGGGAGGGAGGCTTTGGGGTGGCAGACTTGTATGTGAGCCTGCCCACTCTGAAGCAATTTAATTATATATACTTTATATAAAAAAAGGAACTTGTAAATAATTTTAAAATGGCCAATTATTGTATTTCCCATATTTTGACCAAGTTGATGAGGTAAATAATAAGCAAAATCCCAAGTTAGAAATTTCCTGTTAACTCAAATGTAAAACACCCAGTGTACTATATATAGATCTCAGATATGGTACCTTATACTACCAATTTCAAATAACCATTAATAACCAATTACAGTACGTAGATGCATAGAGCTCTGCAACCAGGCAGAGTAGTAGCTAACTTAAACTGTACTTACGATAAACTTCAATCTCCAGTTGAAAAACACTTTTGGAATGTTTAAACAATAAGTACTGTCATTCCAGTACAGTATATAAGATAAAAAAATTCTTGCAAGATACAGTACACGAAAATTTCCTGCTACCATATTTTGTTGAAAATTTCCTGCATTTTGATTGTCCAGCACTGATTGAAAAGTCACTTTTATTTTTTTTAGAATAATTATGCACCAAATTAATCCAGAGAACTTGAAAGGAGTAAAAGGTGTACAGAAACAAATTGGTGAAGGCGTGTTTGGCAAATGCATTAAGAAAATGTACCGAGGTCAAATTGTAGCCACACAATACTTAAAACCACATACAAAGTCACTGATGTTGAACATGGAGCAGAGATGATAATGGGATTTGATCATCCAGGTAATTTGTGTACCTACATGTACCTGTATACACACATGTAAGCTATCAGACAATTTACTGCAGCCCAAACTGGCAAACTGTTTAAATCAGAACAACATAGTCATTTTGGAATAAATGCACTTCTTAGAAGTCCAGATACGGTACTGTGGTACTGTACTGTAAAAGGTTTTGACATTTTGAGTGAGATCTGGGGTCTGAAAAACTTTTCTCCTACATGTATTTTTCAACGTTTCTAGTAATTGAATAACCACAGGAAGACAAGACGTAGTACAATATATGTATATATAAATCAATATTATGATATTTTCTGTGTTAATGCAATGTAGTCAGGTGAATATGATGCTTGTGATGTTACTCTGAGTGTATATCCACACTGGGCAAGCTTGAAAAATATGCCTGTCCACGGTTGGAATCGAACCTACAGGTACGACCTTTGGGGATATGCCCAGAATCTAGTTCCTTCGATATTAATTAATGTAATCTAGTAATCATGATATTTTCTGTGTTGATGCAATGTACTTAGAGTAACATGACAAGCATCATATTTACCCGAGTACATTGTACCAACACAGAAAATATCATTACTAGATTACATTCCTTTGGTATCGGAGGAAGTAGATCTGTTCCAAAATGTCACATACTCGAACTGACATGACCATGTAGCTCAGTTATGGTGTCCCATCCCCGCCAAAAATCAACTTTTTATTTTCAACACAACTTTTTGTTTGCAACATCATTTTCACTGTATGATTTTTTATTTTCAACACAACTTTTTATTTTCAACACAACTTTTTATTTTCAACACAACTTTTTATTTTCAACACAACTTTTTATTTGCAACACAACTTTTTATTTGCAACACAACTTTTTATTTGCAACACAACTTCTTTTTTTCAACACAACTTCTTTTTTTCAACACAACTTTTTTTTTCAACACAACTTTTTTTTTCAACACAACTTTTTTTTTCAACACAACTTTTTTTTTCCAACCGCAATCCACTCATATATCATGGATCGCGGGCTCGTTTTTGCACATAAATGATTTCTCCAGTTATCACGATACAGCTCAGTGGACTTCTTCCGTTTCCCGCGCTCTCACTCCTCAACAATGGCAGAATCATCAGAGACTTCTGGACCTTCTGGGTTAAACGAAGTGAGGGCTACTCTTCTAAAAGTAGCCGAGCAAATTTCTTCAATAAACTCGTCGAATTCATCTTCACCGACAATGAGCCCATCTAATTCTTCATCAGGTAAGTGTAGCTTTAAAAAATAGCTTTGTCAAATCCAGACGATATATAATAATATGCAAAAATATTTAGTATCATTTTATTATTATTAAAAATAAATTTGACTATACTTACATAAATTGAAATACATTTACAGTAAAGCAAATTATAGTCTTAAATCGAGATTTTAAATGCTTTTTACTATATTCTACTAGGAGCAACATTGAGAACAAACAGCAGTTCTTCCCGTACTACCATGCCTACTACATCACAGCAGCAACACAATAGCAGCGCCATATTGCAGGCCATACAACCCAACAGCTCAACCATGTCATCTGCAATTAGTGAGCATAGACGGCTTTTTAATTTCAATAAAAGTCGTTGTTCAACTAAGGGCAAAGCAGCATCAAAAAAGAAGGAAAAGCAACCCACATGCAAGTTAAAGTTTGTTTGTCTTGCTGCAACAACAGCCACAGCTCCTCCTTCCAATGTGAAAGACAAGACAGATCTATGTAATGCAGGCTTGGGAGACTGCACATTACTGTTAGACTTAAATGAGAGCAGTGTTTATTTGTATGAGGAAATTTTGAAAAAATTCCCCCAGCTTGCTCACACAGGAGGATATGAACTCTCACTTTATCAAAGAGGGGGTGGTGTCAATGGGGGCTTTCATGCAATTAAACCTCCACTGACAACAATACGTTTGAAGGATATCTGTGCTCTAGCCAAAATTTATATACGACCACTTCAAACAGACATTCCACTTCTTGACGAGGAAACCCAAGAAGAGAACAATGAGGTGAGATATCTGAAACAGGGGTGGATTTATAGGGGGGAGGTGCACAGGGGTGCACCTGTTGGCCTTGGTCAACATGGGTGCAAGGGAGGTGCAAAATTTGGTTTTCCTTTTTTGAAGTCAAACCGAAGCTCATAATTCAATGGCCATGTTGCAGGAACTGACATTTCTAGGGTTCTAATTTTCAATTTTTTTGGGGAGCATACCCCTGAACCCCCTAGGGAGCTTGCACCTTCTGTGTGTGAGTCATTAGATAGCCAATTCATTTGAATGCTTTCCCACCACCCCCTAAAGAATTATAAAGAAACTCATGTTTGCTCACCCAGCACCCCCATAGAAGAACCTTGCTGGATCTACCCTTGTATCTGAATAACAAATGTAATGATTGACTGAGTCTGTATGAGGGCTCAAATTAGAAAAAAAATATGGCCTGCCAGTCTAAAAAAATTTTTGGCAGGTGAAAAAAAAATTTAGCCTGCCATTTTTATTCACTCAACTGCCCAAATGGTGATGTTTCATATTGAGTCATATTCTAAAAACCAATGTTTTAATGATATGCATTTTTATCATTTTTAAACTTGTCTATTTTACTACAGTAAACTTGGATTTACATTTCAAATATAACATATTTTAATAGTCAACTAAATGATCTCGTATATATGCATGAGTTATAGTATGCAAACAAAATGAAATATATCTGTAGAATTTCACCTGCCATTTTTTTTTTACTTGGCAGTTCAGATTTGTTTTTGCCTGCCATTTCTAAAATATGGCTTTGCTTTTGGCCATATATTGGCAATTAACCTGCTATTTTGAGCCCAAGTAAATCACCAACCCTTCTCCGATCAAGTTCAGTGTAATAAAAAAGTTTAGTTTTATATATATATATATATATATATATATATATATATATATATATATATATATATATATATATATATATATATATATATATATATATATATATATATATATATATATATATATATATATATATATATATATAAATATATATATATATATATATATATATATATATATATATAATATATATATATATAAATGCCAATATATATAATATTATATGGCAATATATAGTATTATACTGTATGTAATTTAATTTAATTTAAAATGAACATGCGTCCACATGCCTGCAGGCACAGATTTTCTGGGGGGGGGGAGAGATGCACACCCCCCAGAAATTATTTGCACCCCCAGAAATTATTTGCACCCCCCAGAGGCATTTGGCACTGCCTCCAAAAGTTTTTGCACCCCCGCAAATTCTATATATTTTGATTTGATAGTTTCATATTTGATTATTCTTACTACTAAATTTGTAAAATTACCAATATTATGGTCTCATATCTTGCCATGCAGGCCTAGAAAACAAATTTTGTTAAACTTTTTCCTTGGCCTTTCCGGGTGTTGCCACCAGGCCCTGGCCAAAGCAAGCAGCAGCACCCCCCCCCCCTCCCCCCAGATATTTATCCATCCCCACCCTCGAATGAAAATATGAAAATCCGTCTCTGCATGCCTGTGGAGATAAACTATAGGCTTATTAAAGTTCAACCTCTTGGAAAGAAAATTAGTGTTTTTATTTTGTTAATTAATTAATAGTTTTATAATTTGAACAGGTAGATTTTGGTGAGCCAGTGGTAACATGTTTCATTTGTGGTATGGTGATTGGAATGTGCAAATTAAAAGATCACCAGAAAAGCCATACTAGTGAGTCACCTCCAAGACAAAAGGTACAATATGTCATTGTGCATGTGTGTTTTGGGAATGTGTATTTGGGTTTTCCATTCTTAATTAATTACTTTACATTCTGAATTTTCTAGAGAAAGAGGCATGATCTTGTAAACCCCTTTCTCAGGTACAGGTAATTTGTGTATTTGACTATTGGTACACCTGGAACCAATATTTTATATTGTGAGTGGAACTTATATTACTAATCATAAAACTATCCCTGGAATCCTTATGGAAGGTGGCATTCTGGGACAAGCAGACAAGTGAACCTGCATGCATTTACCTCAATGCATTTTAGTTGCCATCCATTTTTGTATGCATGGGGTAATTATATACATATTGGTTTGCCATGCTCAAGACAACCATTTCAGTCATAATAAGCTTGTTACCATCATATCAAGATAATCAAAATGAATAGAGGGAGAGTTGCTAATTTCCACAAATGAATTACTTGTAGACTATTAATGTCTATTATAATTAATTTGTCTTATAATCCATGTAGTATTTTAACAAATGGGTACAATAAAAGTGTATTGTATTGAATATATATATAGCAACTGTGAAGAAATTATGAATAAGATTTTTTACTTCACAGAATGGTGCTGGCTGCTGCTTTTCCAAAATTGGTAGCTGTTTATACCATAACAAAATGTTATTCTAACCATATTACGTTTTCCCATTTTATACAGTGATTCTGAGACTGAAAATGATAGAGAGGGAGATGGGAATCTTAAAACTGACAACAGTGAGTCGGATACTAAAAATGATGTGGAAAAAATTCTAAATGATGTTTGTCCTGATGCAAGTACGTCAGAAATAAAAGTTGCTTTACAAGAATGCAATGAGGATGTCAATGCAGCTGCCCAACAACTTTTAGGTATGACAGATTAGAGTATTTACTGTATAAATTAACGTGAAATCGAAATGTTCAGCTGCATTAGTTTGTGTCAAGGTAAAGAATTTTAAGAATCTAGTCATTGGTATAGTATGCATGCATGATACTATATGCTAATGATGTTAATGAACCACAGTGATATCACACTGTAATCTTCCTGCATCATGAGGTGGATAGGTTGCACTGCAAATATTTAAGGATCCTGTGAGAACATGAAAAATTATCTGACTCAAAATGGAGTTGAATAACCATATTATAAGTTACTTACATGTTGCTTTGTCTGACTATGTCTTAGTTAGCCAATCCACATATGAAATTTATAAGTGTCAATTAATGCAGTGCGTGATTTGTTCAAAGATTCTAACTAAAAAATAAAGACAGATAGCTGCCGTTCTGCATGGCAAATTTGCCCTTTTCAATTTTCATCAGTTCTGGATAGAATCAATTTCCAGTGAACACTTGGAGGTTGAGAATGCTATGAGACACTTAAGTTGCAGTAATCACGGACTACAGTATTGTCAAGACAATGAGCATTCCATCAGAAGTTTTAAATGATGACTAAAATAGTAGTGAAAACGTATGATTATAAATTTGATTTAAATATATAAGTTTTTCTCAGTTTCCATTATCTTTTAAGTTACAGTTAGATACTATCCTTCAACTTCTGTATATAACACTTTAGGAATTCCCTTAATTGTTATTGGTGATGGAGAAAACAGACCAGAGTCTTCCGCATCATCAAATATAGATACATGTAATCCAATTTTCCTGTCGGATTTAACCCCAGAAGCTGCTGTACTTGAATTTCAAAAACAAAAAATTGATGAAGATCTTCCTAAACAACGATTTACTGTGTGCCGTGTTGATGGTAAAAGCGAATTAAGGAGAGACATAATTAGTATTTACAAAAAACCTGATTTGAAGCTATGCGCAGTTCCAAGGGTAAGATTTGAGGAAGAGGATGGCGTTGGCAGCGGACCTGTGAGAGAATTCTTGGTTCTTGCCATGGAAGTTGTGGATGAAGGGATTCCCTCTGGCTCAGGACGATCCAAACCTTTGATATTCTTTGAAGGACAACCTGATCACCGATTGCCTATTCATGATCAATCACTTCGATTAACAGTAACTTTTAAGGCGTTGGGTCGTATAATTGGTCACAGTATCCTGCACGGTGGTCCTGGAATACATGGTTTGTCACCTGCTGTTATACACATTTTAACATCTGACAGTGAGACCTACCAACCTCCTCCAATTGTCCCTGAAGACATAGTAGATATTGATTTACGCCAGATGATAGTACATCATGTGAGTATAATTAATTGTAAAACATTGTCATTGTGGGAGCAAAATACTTGTTGCCTCATTTGAGTGCAATAACTCTCGTCTGTACATGTAATCACTAGCTCATTCTCCTTTTCCCCCTCTTGTCATTTCAGTTGAATGTAACATCAACCAAAGAATCCCAAACCCTTGTCACAGCTTCGGAGAAAGAATTATTGCAATATCTTTTGGAAGCTGGCATCGATCCAGATACGTTTCCGACTAACCGTGAATTGGTAATCCAAGAACTAATGATGTTTCATGTTATTGACAAAAGAAGACTTCAATTAAATGATATTGCAAAAGGTATGTACTGTATAACGATCATACATAACATGTGAAACTTTAATTTACCCTTGTTAGTATTTTTTATAACAGTCATTTTGATATGTGATGTATTTTTTCTGTGTTGGTGTTATGTACAGTACTCAGGTGAATATGATGCTTGGGAACTTACTCTGAGTGTATATCCACACTGGGCAAGCTTTAAAAATATGCCTTGCCACGGTGGGAATCGAACCTACAACGTTTGGAATACTAGCCCAATGCTCTGCCGAGCTACTGTACGCGGCGTCAGGAACTAGACTCGGTTCCCACCGAAATATCACATACTCAAACCGACCTGACTGCATAGCTCAGTTGGCAGAGCATTGGGTTAGTATTCCAAAGATCGTAGGTTCGATTCCCACCGTGGCCAGGCATATTTTTCAAACATTGCCTGGTGTGGGTATACACTCAGAGTAGTATCACAAGCATCATGTGATGTATATTTCAGAATTAACCACCACTGGCGAAATTAGATGTTAATACCAAAGTTCACTAGAATGACAATATTATCCGTGTGATATTTTTTGCATTTCTTGTCAGTAACTTGGTGAATCATATTGTACAAATTATTTCAATTACTACAGGAATGGATGAAGTTTCCCTGACCACATTTGTCATAAAATGCTCTTCCTTATCCAAGTTGGTGTTTCCTGAAGAAAATGAAAGGATAATTAAAGCTAGAGAAGTGATCAACTGTTTGCTTTTTCAAGAAAGAGAAGAAAGTGAAGCCAACCAATTAGCAGCCTATTTCTTTCTTCGTTATATAGAGGAAATTGAAAAAAAGCAAGAAG